GGCACCAAATCCAATTTGATGATCATATTTCCTCCAACTTTTGCAAGGTTGTTCCAAATCATCAAACACAAGCCCTAGTTTCAAAATGAAATTGGTATCCATCTAATCAAACCTACACAATAGGGGAGAAAATTACTTCAATGATTAAAGCATTTACTTATCTATATAATATGACTTTACCAAAATGTGTGTGTGTAACTGTATGCATATAAAACATACACACATAGAGAAATAGATTAATAACAAGAAAGTGATAAAAAGAAAATAGTATATGGTATCAAAAATAGAAAAGCTCATGTATGCACACAAATACAATAAACAGGAGACAACAAGTGATTTAAAAAACAAATACATACCTTCAAAAGCCATTGCCTAGTATCTTTCCACCTCTATTTTCATTCATCAAAAATTTTCCACACTTTAGCTAGCCTTTAGGTCTAATATATATAAAGGGAGAGAAGATGATTTTTACCATCTTAGGTCAAAATTTCTTGAAAAAATGAATGGCTTTAATTGCCGATATAAAACTATGCTATTTGAATTAATAAGAGCATTGTTGTCAAAATTATTAATAAGAGAATCAACCATTGGATCAAAAAGTAAAAAAAAAAATGGTTGAGATTCGCACCAAGATCAAAAATAGGATATTGCCACTAGGAGATATTCCGATCCCAAGGGTTGTATTTGGTTGAAATGATGGGAGGGAATCAAGGGGAAGAGATTTTAATTATTGGATATATGAGGGGAGGGATGAAAAAATAATAATACCTAAACTATTTTTAAACTATTTAAGGTATTCTAATCACAAAGAAGGACATCTATCTATCACTGCCATTACCATCATAAAGTGCTCAGTAGTTAGTTTTGTGAACATGCTAGCAAATAGCAAAATAGGCTTAGAGCAAGGAAGATGATTTCTTTCTTTGGCTTTTGGGACAATTTCTCTCTTTTTTTAAAAGCTTCGTTGGACTAACCGATAGATGCTTAGACAAGTTTAATGTCTCAAATAGTTGTTGATGTTCCTCTTCTTTCAATTATTTATTTACTAAAAAAAGTAGTTGATTTATAAAATATGTTTTAAAATAATTTTTTATTTTTATTAAAAATAGAAAGAGAGAGATACACAATATACTTTATATTAAGGATAAAAAAATTCACATTGAAAAGTTATTGTACACTTCTATTAACATTTTTGGAATCAAATGTTGCTAAAAAGTAAAAAATTCAATTACATTTGCTAATTGTATTGTCATAGTTCACATTCCCTTTAGTCAACATAATGTAGAATGAAATTTGTGAAAACCTAATGCACACAAATTATTTCATCGCAAGTATATGGGTCACTATGTAATATAGCAATGTGTCAAAGTCGATCCCACAAAGAATTAAACAAAATGGCAAATAGGTATCAAATTTTTAATTTCATTTAAGTCAAGTGAATCACACATGAAAGTTTATAAACTTAAAAAAAATTAATAATTCAGATTCAAAAGCAAATAATTCCACCAAACAACAATTTCATAAAAGAGATTATCTAAGCTCCTACTCTCTTGTTTACTTCTTAGAATCTATTTCCTCTGAATTACCTAGGATTAATTTTCTTTGGTTAATCTAAAGTCTAATTAGTTGAAATTGTTTTTTGAATCAATTACAACCCTCTCTTAAATAAGACCAAATATTAACACAATTATCCAGGAGGCATTTAAAATTCAATAACACTTTAATATGATTATATGGGTCCAAGAGGTATATTTTTATCCTAATGGTAAATTAGAATAAATTTTAATCCTATATTACCTAATCTCAAGGTTCATTTAAGATTTTCTTTTCTATGATAAACCATAAACCCTTACATCTCAACTCATTGGTGGCCAATCATTGAGCAAGTCACAATAAATGAGATTAAGTAACCCAAAACTAACATTAATCATAGAATAATTGGAAAAAATAGTATCTAATATATAAACAAATTCATAGTTGCTTAGGTCATGAAAAACGTCTAGCTATACATCAATAAACTCCATCCCACAATAGCAAAATCAAAAAGCAAAACCAAAAACATTGGAGAATAAGGGAAAAAAACAAGATCAAACTAGATGAAATCATAAAATGTGAATGAGTCCTTTTTTTTCCAAGCTCTTAGATTAGTGCCCATCCTTCAAAATTGCCTTCTCTGGTCCAGAAAACTTTCCAAAAGTTAAACTCCTCAAAACCCTTGTGCTTTCTCACTTTTCCATCTGAAAAACTAGTGCTTTATGTTTCTGGTGCAAAATCTACTACAGCACACGCTGTAGCATGCTCTAGATAATACTAAACTGCTACACATAAAAATTTAAGTTTTCATTAAATTTATTATATTTTTCTTATCCATCTCGTTCAAGCTTTCTTAGAGTTTTCTAAAATCAAAATGATTCAAATTAACAAAAGAAATTACTCTAAAATAAAATTAAAATATAATATTTACAAGATAAGCTAACTAACACTAAAATAAATACTAAACACAAGACAAATAAACAAAAATAACTAAATGACTCTCTAAAAGATCAATAAAACTCTCCAAAATATATAAAAATATAGAGAGTGAGAAAAACAAAGAATGGAAAAACTTGTGTAGCTTGTGAGCCTATTGCTAGTTTTAACTCATGTAATTAAACCAATGTAATATATATTATTTACATAAAAAATGTTGAAATGATATCACACAATAACAAAAAGAACCAAGACTCAAATGTAAATTTTCTCACCAAAAATGTAAATCTCATTGTGTCATTATGTAATTTAGAATGCCGTGACAATAAAGAGCTAATTTTAAGCTTTTAAATTTCAAGAACAGAGAGCCATGTCCATGATTATTGCCTTGTACACATGAGAAGGACATTGGACAATTATTCTCGTCTTATCACCATTATTTATGAAAATGTTGAATATCTTGAATACTTTTTCAACTTCGCATTCACATCCTTCGGTCAAAGCCGTAACTTTTCCCTTGAAGGTCGTAACATTTTGGAGTTAAACCCTTTTGACATAGCATTGCCTTGTCTTAGAACACCTGCTACATCGGACATTGCCACTTTGTATTCACTAACATGCAAGTTTTTCTCTTTAATTGCGGACAATTTTTCCTTATTGTTGCAAGTGAATTTACTGGAAATTTATTACGCCTTCTTTATATATATAACTTTATGGGCTAGGTTGGAATATAGAAAATGTATAAAATTATTTTACGTTACTAAAATATATTTGTGGCATCCCTCCAAATTTCCCCACTTTGGGGAATGGAAGGAAAAATTCATTAAGAATGCATTTGGGTATATGAGAATTTGAATTTAGATTTGAATTAAATCTTTTATTTGGATAAATCTTTAAATTTGAATTTGAAAGCTAATATGTTTTATTATAATTTTTTTATAATTTTAAATTCTCTCTAAAACTCTGCCATTTGAAGTTCCAATTATTTTAATCATCTTATTGTTTCACATTTTCGCTATCATCTTTGTTATTCTCCTTACTCCTTTCATATTTCATTTTTGCCTCTTACTAATTGAAAAATAAAAGTAAGTTTGTTGTTTCCAATATGTTGTTACTAATTTTAATATCAGCTCATCTTTTTTTTTTATCTTTAAAAATTTTTACACTATTCAAACAAAAATTTTAATATATATATATATATATTAAATGTAAGATTTTAAATTTAAAATTTAAATTCAAAACAATCAAAACTAACACTACGTACCCAAAAATATTTTTCACCATTTCCCTACATTTTTTAATCAAACAAGGGAAGGTAGGAAAATCCCTGCCCTTCTCTCTCAATCTCTTCCACCCAACAAAGCATAAAGTGTAAAGAATCATAATTTTTTTAACCAAGGAAGAGAATCCTCTTAGTATGTGTTTGGTATTCTTTTGACTGAAAGTTAGTTTGTCAAAAATTTATTTGACAAAAGTTAATAAAAGTTAATTTAGTAAAAGTCAGTTATTATAATAAAATTTGTATTTAAATATTTATTTTTAAAAGTTAGTTTAATAAACTAAAAAGTTATTTGAATTATATATAGTGAAATATACTTTTAAATGTACAATTATTAAAAAAGATATTGATTTATAATTATTTGTAATTTTTGTTATACAAATACAATAAATTAAAAATATTTAAAAATGTGTGATAAAAATTTTAAATAACATAAAATTTGATATGTTAAATAATTTATATAATAAGAGGATGCATAAATAATATAAATTTTTTTGTTGAATAATATAATAATAAAATTTGTATCAGTAATATGGTAAGCAAATTATTCACAATGGAGAGGCTTTTATGGTATTTGGAGAGGAGAGAGCAACATGATAAAGAAAAAATTATTTAAAATATTGTAAGCTCCAACTCACTTTTTCAAATACAAAAGCTACTCTCATTTAACTTGAGGAAATGGACTTTCAAAAAAATTTTAAATGAACTTTTGAAATGTGTTTTGGAAAAAAATTAGAACACCAAAAAACTTTAACTTACTAATATTCATGAGAGTCCTTTTCAAATATTAAAAGTTGAAAAACCAAACGGACCCTTATTTTTCTTTTCCATCCTCCTCTTCTCCTCTTTTTTTTTTTTAATTATAAGATTAACATTTCAGATGGTTTATATTTGATTTTATATAAAATGTTTTTCTATTATCGTTTTAAACTGTTGAAATTACAATCTAGTAGTTTGAATTATTTATTTTTTATAATTTTTAATTTTAATAATAATTTTACAAGAAATAAAATTTGAATTGCTCAAATGTTAATATGATGATTAGAAAAGAAAATTTAGGGAAAAGGAGAGTCCTCCCCACGTGAGTTTTGTAAATGACCTGATTGATTTAAAATTTTCTCAAGTTTAGAGAACTATTTTAAAATAAGGCGAAAATATGGGGACCAAGCACCTAACTTTTTTTTTTTTTTAATAAAAAAAGCACCACTGTTGTTTGTTAATTGACTAAAATAGAAAGGGATTTTTCTCTTTTTGGGCCATGAAGTGTGGTGCTCTTAAGCTAGGAGACTAGAGGGGGTTCAGGTGCGCACGCGAATTAGGTCGCGGCATCGGAGGAACGAGAAGCTCCGACGGTGTGATATTCAGGCCATCATCGGAGCTTCTTCCCCATCCTCTCAAATCTGGCGGTGTTTCCCTTCTTTGGCTTCCTGGTATAAGATTCCTTTTTTCCATTTCCTCTCATAGTTAGTGGCGTGTCAGCTTCATAATTATCCCTTCAAAGTTGAGGGAAATCACTTCATATTTCAAGCTTTGATTCCTTTCAATTTGATTTATTTCTCTAATTATTTTGATTTCATAATGTCATGCGCCTTCTTATACATATTTTCTGGGTCTTTGATGATGGCCTTGCTCATTCTTCATATACAATGAGGAGATTGACTACGCATCTCTAATCTCTACATATCATGTCTTCATTTCTATGAAGTTTATACTGCGGTGTTAATAATTGCTTATTTTAATTGGTTTTCTTCTCAATTTTCAATTTCAGAATTCGGGCACCTCATTTCTCGCGTCGGAAAACTTCTTGCATGTTGAGGAATGAGATATTGTAATCTAAGTAACATCCTAGGTCCTAAAAGAGAAACTGAATTTTAGGATTCTGCATAAGAGCTTAAGATGCCTTCTGGTTATCTATCAAAGCTGAATGCTACCATTTACTGTCGTTTTCGAGAAGGAATAACTCGGCAACAAGGGGTGCGATCTTTGCTATATAGACGTTCGTCTGCGTCTCTTTCTTCACTTTGCTCAACTTCATTTTCATCTGATGCCAATCCTTCTTTTTCAAGCCAAACGCTTAAAAATAAATTAATGGCTGCTTCAACTTCCATAGCTGTACTGGGAGATGTTTTTGTCCATGATGTCATCACTAGCCGTAGCAATACGCTAGACTTCAAAAAGCCTGGCGCTGTTTACTTTGGTGATAGAACTCGTGAAGGCTACATAAGAGATCATTTGAACTTGAAAAGAAAAGATCCATTTGCTCTTAATATTAGGCATTCGACTCTCGATGCTATTTCAAGTTTTCCTCATCGACCATTGCTGAAGAATTTCTCTACTACATCTTGTACTTCCTACTTTGCTCGGGCAGCGCACAATGTCTCATTTGACAGCGGCACTTGTGCTGAAGAGCTTGAAAATTCCTCCCCACTAGACCCGTAAGTGTGCTATCTGTGCATAAGTTTGTGCCAATCATAATTTTCAAGTCATTAAGAGGAGCCAGTGTTGCTGGATTACATATAATGATTTTCCATAGGAGTCTGTTGAGTGGTGATTAGAGTTAGTTACAAGACTCTAGTAGTATAAATAGGAGCACATGGTGATGTATTAGGTGTCTTTTGATTGAATAAACTCTCTTTATGTTTCTCATGTACGAGGGTACAATATTGCTTCTTCGTTAGTTAATTAGTTAGTCACTTATAAAAATTATTCAGTCTTTTTTAGTAACCTGAGGCTTAGTTGTGTTACTTTCAGAACAATTGCTGGCGGTGAGACTTTGAAGCTATTTTCAGGATCTAGTTACCTACCACATCCAGATAAGGAGGAGACAGGTGGAGAAGATGCTCATTTTATTTGGGATGAACAAGCAATTGGTGTTGCAGATGGTGTAGGTGGTTGGGCTGAAGTTGGTGTTAATGCAGGACTGTTTTCTCGTGAACTCATGTCCAATTCAGTAAGAGCAATCCAGGAGGAGCCAAAAGGTTCTATTGATCCAGTAAGGGTGTTAGAGAAGGCTCACTTAAGCGCAAGGGCCAAGGGTTCATCAACAGCCTGTATCATTGCCCTTGCTGAGAAGGTTTTGCCTTTTATTTTAAGTTCATAGAAGCCAAATAATTTGGTCAATTTTCTATAGAATAAATTTAATGGACTCTAGATAGGTGAACTTAACCTTTAAAATATTTTTATTGGCACTGAATCAACTTAAAGGTTTTTCTTGTTTTCATCAGTAAAGGTTTTGATAATTGTGCTGCGGCTTCTGCAGTAGTTTGCATTATTAATATCATTTGATCTTATATTGACCGAACTTTGTGTGTTTGAAACATGATGTGCAGATCATAATTTTGCACAACAAAAGTTAGGTTTTTATCTAAATTAGGATTTCAGACCATCAATGTGACAATGTCTTTGTGGATTGATGCTTTATCATGTTTACATCAAGCTTTAATTCAAAAGGTGAATGGAATTAATGCATGTCAGGACTCAGGAGTTCTGCTAGTGTCTTCTCTTTTGTGTTTTGATGACTTTTTTCTTGTCATACTCGTGGATACACATACACGCACATGCTCTTTCTTGTCTAACTTGTTTTTACACTCTTAAGATTAATGTTTGGCTGGTGTTCTATATCCTGCATCTTAATTGACTAAAGTGCATCCTGCGCTGCCATTAAGTCACACTTTTAAGTAAACTTGGCTGGTTTTTATTATATATGTACCTAATTACGTACACATGCATGTATGTAACAACATTAATTTATTAATGTTCACTTCATCTATTTGACTTCTTGGTCCAGGAGCTTCAAGCTATTAATTTGGGTGACAGTGGATTCATTGTGGTTAGAGATGGAAGCACCATCTTCAAGTCCCCTGTTCAACAGCATGGCTTCAATTTCACATATCAATTGGAGAGTGGCGATGGCGGTGATTTACCCAGTTCTGGTGAGGTAACTACACATACTAACATCCTGACTTCTCATTGGCATGACCTTGATATTTTCAATGACTTGCTTTAGCTATATGAAAATTTCCAAATCAAGGTAGTCTTGCTTCTGATAGCCATTTTTTAAGTGAGATGTGGCCTGTTGTAACCATAAAATTGTAGGATCTCTCTCCCTCTGGAGACTCTGCTTGGTATGGAAGATGGAAAACGGAGAGGGGAGTGAAAATGAGATTCTTTGATTATTTGGTAGAGATTAGAGAGGTTTATTAAGAGAGAACGAGAGAGGTTAGAGAGAATGAAAAATGAAAGGCAGGTAGATCTTTATTTTATTTTATTTTTTTAATAACAAAAGCAGGTGGATCTTGTATAGACATGAAAGAGTGTTTGCGTTTTAAAGTTTTTAAGCTGTCCAGTTGCATGGTTCTATTTTCCCTCAAGCTGACACTTACGGGGCTAGTCAACCAAGTTGCTTGTTCTCCCGAAATAATGATATTGGTACTTTTTGACATCAAAGCCTTATGGAAGGTGAAATCCATGTTTTAAAAACGTATGTTGTTTGAGTCTCTCTATTTTCATTGCGTTATTTCTTGTCAACTCGAAAAGGGGGGGAAAAAAAAAGCAAAACATGGAATGCATTAGACTGACTTAAAGTGGTAGGTTTTATTGGAATGTGGGAGACCTACTTGAGTGATGAGTCCCACACACTCTCTGCATATCTCTCTTCAACATTGACAAGAAATAGGAGGAATAAAGATGCAAAGAATCTGTATAACTTGTGGAAACTCAGACAATTAGTTGCGATAATGTGAACAGGTGTTTACAGTGCCTGTTGCCGCAGGAGACGTGGTGATTGCGGGAACAGATGGATTATTTGACAACTTGTATAATAATGAAATTACAGCAGTTGTAGTGCACGGAATTAGAGCGGGACTAGAACCCCAAGTAACTGCACAGAAGATAGCAGCACTAGCCCGTCAGCGAGCACAGGACAGAAATAGGCAGACTCCATTCTCAGCTGCTGCTCAAGATGCCGGCTTCCTGTATTATGGTGGCAAGCTCGATGACGTTACCGTTGTTGTATCACACATAACCTCAGTAAATTCCTGAGTCCCTATCCCAGCCGTCATGCTCGGGGTGTTCCTTGGTGAGTGTTAGCTTTTGTTACATTGTTCTGTGCCTAGTCCTGGCTGATATTTTCTTTTTTGGCCTTTTCACACGCTCTCCTTTGCGTGAGGGTTGTATAATTTTAAAAAACAATAGTTTGTCCTTACAAGGCTTTTTTTTTTTTTTTCTTTTGGCCATTTATGGTTTTTAAGAAAGTTGCAAGTTCTAATTGTTTTTGGGATTGATGATTTACAGAGTTGAGCGGTTAAAAAGGACTAGGCCGGTGGGAGTCATCAATTTTCGTGACGCACAAAGTATCTCCCAAATTTAAGTTTTTGCAAGACTAGTAATATTATATTAAATGTTAGGTATCAAATGTGTTAATAAAAGTTTAAAAAAGGGTGATACATGAGAAAATAAAAGTAACTGTATACCAACCGAAAAAAGAAAGAAAGTTTACTGAGTTGAAGCAAGTCAAACAACAACAAAGTGTGGTTTCCCTTTTTCTTTTTTTTTAATAAATCATTAACCATGAGTTGAGAGATCTTATGGACGACTTTTTTCAATAGTCCTTGTTCTTCCTTTATTTATCTTCATGTGCAATCTGCTCACCCTTCCTACTAACACGTCTTTTTTGACACCTATAGGAAAAAATGGTGAAAAATTGATTAAGATGATTTGAAATGAGAGTTAAATATATACAGGTTTTTTCCTGTATGACGAGATTTGCTGGAAGAAAGTCTCGTAGTGAATGATATGCCTAAAATTAGTTAGACAAGTTTTTTATTTTTCTTCTTGATGACGATGGTGGTTTTGAAAGTTCTAATTGTTTTTAAAGATTAAAACTCTTCAAATTTAAGATTTGTTTAATCATGATTTAAGTCTTTTATAATTTTAAATGTTTGTTGAATTGAATTTCTAAATTTTAGTATTAATTTTAGTCTTTGAAAATAGTTATAATTTTTGTGATTTTCAATATAAATATTACAAATGTCTAAGTGGAAGACGTAAATTTTCCTATTTCCTAGTTGAAATTAAATGTAAAAAAATCATTATATGTATGTATGTATGTATGTATGTATGTATGTATATGAGCAAAATAAAATGCACTGTTATATCACCGTCATATTCTTTCAATTTGTATTCATTAAATCTTTTCAATAGCTTGTGTAAGAATGCATGTGTGGATGAGTGAAGTCTAGTCAATATCATCAATGTAAAATATACCATTTATAAATTAAAAAAAAGGTTATACTATTTATATGTTATAAATAATGCAAGATGCCCCATAATATAAGGAAAACATGCCCAGCGGAATGTGAAATTTATATTAAATTATTATATTAATAAAAGTCAAAGAATATTTTTCTCTCTCAACATTCACTCAAGAGCATTTGGTATTTTAAACTTATACATGATGCAAGTTTGCCTTTTAACATTTGAAAATGACATATTGAATGCCCTACCATTAAAAAAATTAATTTTAATCATTATTTAATCAAGAAATTACAAAGAATAACAAAAAGACTCACAAAATTACAAAGAAGTACCCTATAAAAAATCATGTCTTAGGCATTTTACATGAGCAAGAAAGAACATTTCTCTCCTGTTATTAATATGTAACTTAGAAAATTTAATTTATATTAATTTTCTTATTAGATGCTGATACATAATTTTTGGGTCATTGTTTATAATTTTTGAAGTTATTGTTTTATTATTTTTATCGATTAAGGGTCAAAGTTAACATTTTAACAATAAGATGTCTAATGTACCATTTTTAAATGCTGAAGGGCAAAATTGTACACATAAAAATTTAGGATACTAGACGTTCTTAAGTGAATAATTGAAGAGCAAAAATATTTTTTAATTTTTTTTATAAATCATAAACAATATAATTTTTTATGCCTATGTTTACTAAAATGAAAGGCAGGTAAGCTGGGCACTCTTTAGAATCTTAGCACAATTCCTTGCACGCAAAATTGCAAATTGGTCAATGGGACCACAAATAGAGCAAGAAATATGAGTTAGGTTATATAAGTTATCTCGAATAAATGATCATATGAGTTAGTTTTGGTTGGAAAAAAATTGATTGAAATAAAAATGAGTTTTTTCTAACTTAAACAAAATAACCTATGAACCATATGAGCTGGCTTTGATAAGTTAGGGTTGACTCATTTAACTCATATTATTTTTAAAAAATAAAAAATTAAGAAAAATGGAAAATATGGTAGATTCATGACTTTTGATAAATTGATAGGTATGGCCTCAATTCATATATTATATACAAATTATGGGTTAATATTTTGATATATCTGGAATGAATCATGACATGAAAAAATCTCATACTAAAACTCATCATCATTTTCATTTAGGTGTATTTTTTATAAGGTTAAGAGTCATTTATATCCTTAAACTGTACACAAAATGTGACAAATGACCCTAAACTCAACTATAAATAATTATATCCTTCAACTTTAAAGATTCCCTTCGACGTTACCCTGATGTTAAAAATACTTAATGTCGTTAGTTATCAGTAAATCTCACTATTTTAAAATATTTTTTATTAAATTAAGAGTCATTTTGACCCCTCAACTCAAATATTTTATAATAAAAAATATAAAAAAATAATAGGGAGCTCACTAATAACTAATGGCGAAGAAACAAATGGGTGGTGAGGAAGGGAATATTTAAAATTAAGGAATAAAATTGAACCTATAGTTGAGTTTATGGTCATTTATGACATTTCGTGTATAGTTCAAGGATAAAAATAATCCTTCATCCTTTTTTAAATTTATAAAAAAATTAAAAAATAAAATAAAATAAATTAAAGGGGTGGAGTGAAAGCTTTTTCAAGTCATACAAAAATGTGCTAAACCCAACTAAAGCATATTTTTCTTAACTCATATGGGTTAACACAGACCAAAAGGTCCATGACATACAGGAAAACAAAAGATCCTTTAATAAGAAGCCACGTGATGAAGAACACTGTTATTATTAGCAGTGATAGTAATTTTAATTACTCCTTTCCTGGTCATATTCTTTTAAATTACTCCTTTCCTGGTCACATTCCTAAAAGAATATTTAATGGTTCTGTTTATAAATTATTTTCTATAAAAGATGGATTCTTAATTATTATTTTTAATTTTATCCTTTTTCAATTATTATAGCAGAGTAAAAGATTGCATATATGAAAAAAAATATTTTTAAAGATGCTGTATTTAATAAGGATAAATTAAAAAAAATTTCAAACAATATCAATAATTCAACTACTTCTTCTTAATTCTGAGGTAACTCTAAGTGATTTATATATAGGATTGAGGAAGTATTAGTTTTTCAACATAAGAAAAATAAATGATCTTTGTCATTTGAGTACTTCCTCCTCTCTCATGTTTTGATGAGAACAAAAGACATCAAGATTCCCACTTTATTGGAAAGAAAACGTATTTGTGACCCGGACGACAAAAATCCTTTTCCAAAGCGGAAGTGGAACGCGTTAGAGTTGGCATCATGCATTAATAGAAGAATGAATTTGGCTTTATATATAAACATACAATTCTTATATTTAAAAATATAAAGTATTTTTTATGAGTTGCTTATTAAAAAATATAAGACACATTTAATTTTTCAAAATGTAATTATCTTTTTTTAAATATCTTTATTGAATAAATCACTTCATATTTATTTTAGGATAAAATACTCTATTAAATAAAGGTAAATATGAAAAAATAAGATTAGTTTTAAAACAAACAACTACTAGAGAGTAACATTTGATTAAACATACTTACATTTTTAAATTAAGAGAGTGTGTGTGTATATATATCATTATGAATATATGCATATATACAAACACGTATAATATAAAAATTATATAAGAAATTACACCATTGAACACATGATGCAGTTTACTTTAGATTTTGTCCAGTAGTTGACCCACAATCTAATTAATGTAATCATCACATAATCATCCCAAACTCCTTGTAAGCAGCATTCGTAAAATATGAAACCTGACTGTCATTATCCAACCAAATTCAACAATTAAGATCAAGTAAAAATTGAATTGATTAGATGGACCGGGCACTTAGTTTGTTGTGTCGAGCGTCAACCACATGACTCTACGCAAATGGTCAACCCGAAGATATAAAATTACTTTTTTAAGGGGGGGAAAAACTATTGATTTGTCATTTTTATTACTGTTAGCCATGAGTAGTTATTTTGAATTAAAAATTGATAGTTATACATCACCAACCAGAGGGAAAATTATTGCTAAGGATTTGGAGAAAATAATTTTTATTAGAAGGGATCTTAAAAATACTAATTATAAAGAAGGACCAAATAGAAAAAATATAAATTTTAAAATAAAAAATTGTCCCTAATTATATTTTCTCTAACAACATCTCAAATTGAATTTAACAATTACGTTACTGGAAATGATAAATAAAAAAATACTACTAGAAATCAAAACAAGTGAAAATTTTCTTATGGTTTGAAGATTCGCAAACAAATCTTATAAAAATAAGTTGACACTAAAAAATATTTTTAAACCAATGAAAAATAAAATGTAATAACTTTTTAAAAATAAATATGTTTTAAATTATGTTGATGTAATTTTTTAATAGTAATGATTTGAAAATTATATTTCATTAATTATTTTTTAAATATATTGATTTAATTAAACTTATTATTATATTTTTTTATTTGTGTGGAATTGAAATCCATACAACTTTTTTTTAAAGAATTTTTTTAGCTTATGCAATACTATTAATTGTAAGGTATTATTAACATGTTTTATATTAATGTTATAATAGTCAATTACATTTATTTTGGTCTTTCAGCTTAATTTTAATTTTTATGGTTCTTTATAATAAATATTATTTTTTTCAAGTCCTCAGCAATAATTTTCCGCAACCTAAATCTGGTTATATGGCTCCTCTCATTAAATCCATATAGGCATTACCATTAGATGATCTTTTCTGATTTGTCCAACCTATCTCTCGTACACACGTTAATTCTAATTTTATTAAAGAAATTAAAGAATTTTGTTTTTGGTAAGATAAAAAAATAAAAATTACGGGAAAACATAATAGGAGAGGGATTGAAACTTGAAACACGCACACCGCGTGAAGTGACAAAAAGCGGGCAGGTGCAGCATGTGGAGGAATCGCACGCGGGAAATAAGTTGTACGGCATGCAAAAGTAAAAAGCATCAGTGAGTTGTAATAAATAAAATTGAATTAATAAAATAAGGAACTTCAGTAACAGAAGTAGAAAAAGAAAACATATCCCGAAGGATCTTCATATATCGTAAAGAAAGATCTAAAGGCAAACGAAAGAAGATCCATTAAACATGTTGGCTCAATTTAAAAAAAAAATAATGTTAGTTTAAATCACGTTAATAGACACTGTCTTAACGGATTATTCTATCAACAGATTGTTCACTAAGATAAAACAGATTATTTTCTCACTTGATCAAAGAGTAGAACTATAGAAATATATCACCCAGCAATCATGATAGTAGAGAGGAGAAGAAAACTGTTTTTTTTTTAATTGGCCTAAAAATGTTGTTCATTAAGAAAAATGCTGTTATCT